ATCTCTATATCTTTCTTTCTTTCTCTCTCTCTCTCTCTCTCTCTCTCTCTCTCTCTCTCTCTCTCTCTCTCTCTCTCTCTCTCTCTCTCTCTCTCTCTCCTTCTCACTCTTTTTTTTCTCTCTCTCTCTTTCTCTATCTGTATCTGTATCTGTCTCTCTCTCTCTCTCTCTCTCTCTCTCTTTCTCGCTCTCGCTCTCTCTCTCTCTCTCTCTCTCTCTCTCTCTCTCTCTCTCTCTCTCTCTCTCTCTCTCTCTCTCTCTCTCTCTCTCTCTCCTTCTCACTCTTTTTTTTTCTCTCTCTCTTTCTCTATCTGTATCTCTATCTCTATATCTTTCTCTCTCTCTCTCTCTCTCTCTCTCTCTCTCTCTCCTTCTCACTCTTTTTTTTTCTCTCTCTCTCTCTCCTTCTCACTCTTTTTTTCTCTCTCTCTCTTTCTCTATCTGTATCTGTATCTGTATCTGTATCTGTATCTGTATCTCTCTCTCTCTCTCTCTCTCTCTCTCTCTCTCTCTCTCTCTCTCTCTCTCTCTCTCTCTCTCTCTCTCTCTCTCTCTCTCTCTCTCTCTCCCTTTCTCCTTCTCACTCTTTTTCTCTCGGTCCTGAACAATATTGTCTGGTTCACTAATGGAACAATTTGTTCTCGGGAGAAGGCGATAAAAGTAGTGCCTAGAATGACTTTGCTAAATATTGTCTGGCACTTTTTCTGTTACTTACTTTTTATTGCGTTTCTTTCATGTCTGGTGTAAATGTAGTTTTTTTTTTTTTACATGTAAGAGGAAATCAGTTATTCATTTGATACAATATATACTCATTCACTTACGGCTTAGAAATTCGGTTCTAAATATTTAAATGATTCCCTTCTATGCTTGTATTCAGACTTAGACATCAGCATCTGTTAGTATAGAACTTTTTTATTATTACTTTAATCGAATATATATTGTGATAAAGATTTGCTAGTAAATCCCTATTAATGATTTAGGCTCGTGTTTGATTTTCGTTTTATATTGTAAAGTTGCAAGAATCTGTTTTGTCGATTTTAACGTTTATTTTTTCTTTTTCCCTTATTTTCTTTTTTTTCTCTTCTCTTCTTTTCTTTGCTTTTCCACTCATATTTCCTTTTTTGCGTAACAAATCCAAAAGCAAATATGACGTAAATGCCAATGATAAGATGATGATAATAATGATACTTATGATAATGGATGATGGTGAGAATAATAATGATGATAACAATAATGATAATGATTACAATGGCAATAATAACCACCACCATCATTATCACCATCATCATTGTCATCATCATCATCATCACCATAATCACCATCACCATCATCACCATCATCCTCATTAACATCATCATCACCATCATCATCACAATCACCATCATAACCATCACCATCATAATAACAATAGTAACAATACTGATACCAGTAATACTAATAACATCAATAACATTAATAAAGATAATAATGACCATGAAAAAACAGACGAAGAATGCAGCCCGGACTTCTTGCCACCGAGGGATAGCATTTCCTCCGCCGGCAGTTTCGCGTTTCATCAAGTCGCTGGTTTTCAGAAGCATTTCCGCTCGGTAACCAATCACAAAACCAAACAACAACGTGTATATATATATATATATATATATATATATATATATATATATATATATATATATAAAGATAAAATACCTCACAAAGAAAAATATATTCAAACGATTTTTTTTTTTTTTTAATCACATAAAATTGATTGTTGAAAGAGAAAACAAATCTTTGCAAAAGAAAACAAGAAAACATTATCAACAACAAAAGATAGAGAAAAAAAACTAGAAAACAAACACACAAAACCTCCAACCCCCCCCCCCCTCTCTCCCCCCAGTTGCAAGTAGGAAAAAATGTTGCAACGTTGCAACCGAGCAAGAGAAAGAACCCAGCAAGCAAATGATAGGACGGCGAGGCGGCTGAAGCGAGGCCAATGACCTTGCACGGGACCTTGTATGACGAGATACAAGGGTCACCTGTATTACCTCTCTCTCTCTCTTTCTCTCTCTCTTCTTCCTCCTCCTCCTCTATTCTTCTCGGCTTCTCGCTCTCTCCAATAATGCCTTTAGGAGGGGGGGGTTAAAAAAATTATATTATTATTATTTATTATTTTCGTATAAATATTTCTTTTTTTTCTTCTTTCTTTCTTTTTTTGTTTGTATCAGGGATTTTTTTTTTTTCGTCTTATATTGTGTCTATCATTCTAACGTTTGATTTAATCTCATATTATTAAAAATCTATTTTGGGTTGCTTACATCAATCATATATTGGTTATACCATTTTCGTATAACTTTCGTATAATTTCTATCTCATGTTTATATTAATATCATGTCGTGTATATACTCTATGTTACCAATCCTTTGTTGCTTATATCAACCAAATATTGCTTACATCAGTCAAATACTACTTATATCAACCAATCTCGCATCGATTCCAAACCCTTTATATCAATCTCATAATGCTTTATATCAACCCCAAACTCCATATATCAATCCTACATTGCTTTATACCAATCACACCTTGCTTGAAACTCAAACTAGCCTGTCGTGTCCGAAAGCTAGCTGTACTCTTAATCACTC